ACCGTAGACATTTTCTTTCCATTTTCGCGCTAATGTTGTCAATAATCTACTGCATGCTGCTTCTATCGCAAATGAATAGAGGAGAATATATACCGAAGCCTTATATGAGTGTAATAGAAAGCCTTACATTGATTACGTCTACCAATCAGAGCAGCCAACTACATATTCCATTAAAGAAACTATATTTTTGAGCGCCTACTATTTTCCAGACAAAATTTTCACTAGAAATTCCGCTATGTGTCATAGACACGTCCCAGCAAATTTAATTGAGAAATAACTCAAGGAGGAAAACACAAAGTATGCAAGTCAAATATAGCTCACCTATCGGTATATAATCAAGAGGACCCGAATAGAAACTCCAAGGATAGTTGAGAACATGGAATAATAAGAATACGGTGAGCCCAAACAATATCTGTTTTCGTTTATTGCTGAAAGTATATTTGAATTTTGAAAAAGTGTAAAACCCTTCTCAAATTTCTCCAAGTCTGGTCGCAAAAAGACATGAACAAAAATTTCCTTCAAAAAGCACTTTTATTCTTCTGGTTTAAGTCTTTTCATAAAATTCGCCATTTTGCAAACTCATTATCCTATATGGGACAAAAGATTGTGCTTACATTTTTCCTATTCTTGTGTATCCAATAATGAAACTCATGCACGAAGACACCAAACAAGATGATGTTTGGAAGATTCCATTGTACAGTACAGCATCGGAATCCTTCCAGTTGTACATAGCGGTGGACCAAGGTGTTGAGATTCTACAATTGGCATTGTCTCAAAGTTGGATAAATTATTGTACGACGCGGATGTCCCTTTGCTTTACACATGTACACGCTAGTTCTAATGCAAGTGAAGAACATTTTGCGCCCTTTTATGAATGTAATGTTTAGGATTAATAGTGAATGCGCAATCAATAATTACAAAAAGAGCCAACTCAGCGTACTTTATAGAGTTATAGCAACTGATTTTTGTGTTTTAAGGACAAAGATAGTGAATATCACATTTCTTTTTATACACCTTACTAGTGCATGATAAAAGCTATTGTTGAAATCTTATTAAGGGAGATAACTGTTTTTGAAAGTTGCTAAATGACTTACACTTCGATATTTATTGCTACTGTAGAAGTCACGACCCATAGATAGATGCATATGAGAGCGGGAATCAAGTCGAACTTAGGAATTACTGTAAACTGCTTTCCTGAAATTAAGATTTAGAATATATATAGAATATACTTTGCACTTGAAGTATTACTCATAATTAATTTTAGAAGTAGACTTTGCAAATTTGATTGCAAATTACAATTTTCACATCCTAAATGACCACTAGAAAGAAAAGGAGAAGCTACAGTTGCCACAGACATCATGATACACAAATGATCTGTAATTTTTTTTTCTTCGTATTTCCCCTCTTACGCAGGGTCTGCTGTACGAGTCAAGTCAGTCTCCAGTATTCTCGATTCAAGGCATGATGTTCGTCTATCCTAAGCTCTTTCAGGGTCAGCTCTGATTCTGTCCATCCACCTCATTGCCCTTCCTCGTGGTCTTTTTCCAGAGACATTGCCACTCTTGTGATGTGGGTCTCAGCTCTTCTGCTCACAT